GAGAGAGAGAGAGAGAGAGAGAGAGAGAGAGAGAACATGCATGTAGGGAAGGAGTTAGGGGGAAAGAGGCTTTGTTGTTCTATTCTTTTCAATATTTCTTACCAAAGGATAGTCAGAGTCTTCATGGGAGAGAGGCTTCCTAAGATTCTAATAATGTCGAAGAATTGAGCATTTCTAGGAAATTCCTTAAGCATCTCAAGAAAGGAAGGCTGAGGATGAATTTTCACATCCTACACACTCTCCACATAGCTAGAAGATCAGACTCTAATTTAACAGCAAGGGCAAGGGTAATCTAAGGACAGTTTATTATTCCATGAACTTAACTTGAGATGACACTGACATCCAGGTCCAGGGAAAACAAGCCAGAAGCACTATCAAAAGCCTTCAGATAGGATTCTTGGTACTGAGCAGTGAAAAATTCATTCAGTTGTCTATCTCTGAGAATTCTGTTTTAGATATGAAGTCTGTGTGACTGATGAATCCACAGTGATGGTGGATCTGGGCAAAAAAGCTGGAAAATGACACAGAACTTCTCAACTGGAAAAAACTTCTCCCTCTTTCCTCAAATAAGCTCTTATCCCTCTGGATATATTATCTTCAAGGACAATGAAAATGCTATCTCCTCTGTGAAGCCTTCCATGACCACTCAAAGTATGTTCTTTTCTTGCTTGCATTCTATTATTGCAGATATGACTTTTTGTCATAATTACTTATTCCTTCTGTCTTGCACCAGAATACATCCTCCTGCATTATTCTCTTCAAATTTCTCATGGTTTGGAATAATGTATTTGTCAACTTTGATTTATCTGTTTTCACTGTGAGAAAACATAGTCACTGAGTGCAAGGACTATGTTTGTCTCACTGCTCACTATTATATCCCTAGTACCCAGCACTGTGCCTGACATCTGGGAGGTACTCATAAGTTTGTTGAATGAATGAAAGATTAATGTAAGCTTTTTAGGATTCAACTCTTTCTCCAGAGCCCAGCAAAGTATCTGTCACAAAGTTATCACATAGTAAAGAGTGAATGAATAAAGTTGCTTTTAAAAAATTATTTAAGATTTTTAAAGTGGTCTATTTTTATGTAAGTTGCTATCAGAAATAAGATGTATAAATATGCCATTCTGATTAGCATAGAATTTGGACTGACTAGAAATCTGAAGATGGCAATTAAGAATTTAAGTAAAAATCAGAGATATAATCGAAGCTAGGGACCTGTTTCATTTATTACTCATAGGCCTCCTCACTAGAGTAAGACAGAAGAGAAGTAGGCTAAAGAAAAAAGCAATCTAAAGAATCCGAGAGACTCTTGAGGCTGGCAGGGGCCCCAACTGGTCTTAATTTCACTTATAAAAGCTTATGTTTAAAGCATTCTGCTCCATATTTTCTCATTGTCATTACCTCTCAATGAGGTAGGTCAGCCAGGAGTTATGCCCATTTTACAGAGAAGGAAACTGAGGCTAGAGGTTATGCAACCTCTTTAAGGTCACAAAGATAATTGGTAGTGGAGTGAATTCTAAATCAGGTCAGCCAATTCCAGGTTTAGTAATCCTCCCACTTCATTCCTACTAGAGTCCTAAGTCAACTCTAAACCTTTGCTGAAGCCTCAAATTACCCTCAACTTCTGCATCTTCAGCACTTAATATTCTAGGGGCTAGACTTATTGGCATCAGTGAGGATAGTCTTCTTTTAATATAGTAGTTAGGAGTTGGCTTTAGAGACAGACCTAGGTGTGAAGCCAAATCCCTCTACTGTGATCTTAGGTGTGTTTACTTAACCTTCCTATGTCTCAGTTTCTTCATCTGTGAAATGGGATGATAATAAAATATACCTCATATGGCTGCTATGAGAATGATGAAAAAAATGTTTACAAAGCACTTAGTACAGGTAGTGTTTTAGAGCCTCGTGTTATAATGAGAAAAAGTGAGTGGCTCAGATGTTAGATACAGACTGCTGTTTTCCTTGTTAAGATGCAACTTGCTTGGTCAGTTCCTTCTCTTTGCCCCCAAGCCTAGGGCAGGGGCTTTACAGGAAGAGGTTAAGCCAGCAAGTGTGGTTTGCCTGTGGTGTGTGTGCTGAGTCCCATAAAAACCTCTAACGAGAAGCAGCTCATTGGCTTGGCTGTCCCTAGGCATTCTGTCCTCTCACAGAGGCCGAGTTTGTGCCAAGTCGAAGCCCTCTGCCCCTGGGAATCTCTGTGGGTTGAGTGAGGCAACTGTCATGAGTGTGTCTTATTCCCACTGATCCTCAAGCTCTAGCTAAGGGGTCTTTCTAGGAGGGAATCTAGGAGTGCTGAATGGTACAGATGCCTGGTCTCCAGACTTCCTGTGCTGAAGGACAGTATATGCTAGCACATGAGGAAAGAGGGATATCCAGGAGACCATAATGCTTGAGGTGTGCAAGAATGGTGCTTGTGGAGACCACCTTCCATGACAGCCCAAAGAATCCCAGGGAAGGAAAGGCATCTGCTCTGGGGCAATGGAGGGGCCATGGGCTGATTAGGGCTCACTCATCAAAAGATAGTCATGGAGATACTTGAGGGCCAATTAAGCCGTTCACCCTGATACCCTCATATCTGCCTGTGCAGCCTCCTTTGGAGTTAAGGAGAAACCTGAGTCTGCAGGGTAAGTGTCTCTTGGATCCCTCCTGGCCACAGCCAAACATCATTTACAGGGAAGGTTTTGAGTTGTCCCCAGAGCAAAGGTTTGGACTAAGTTTCCCCTCTGTGGACTGAAGCCAGGCTAGTTAAATTTTATATTTGAAGTGTGGCAATTCGAGGAATGACCTACTCTTTACAACATCCCCTCACTCCTTGCCTACTAACAGCAATTGGCCTGAGAGTCTGGGCTTGGATGGAAAGGAAACTGCAGGCCCAACCCAGCTGCACCCCAGCAGGCTGCATAGGTTTAGTAACATGACCTGCTCCTCTCCCTGGGCTGTGGCAGACAGGTCTCCACCCTGGCATACCTGCCCAGAAATCTGTTTCTGGTAAGGAGCTAGGTGAGTACTCAACAGCTATGGCCCCAGAGAGCACTAAACTCTCTATAAAAGCCAGGTTCCTCTGGGATGAGGTGAGGTGGAGAAAGGGGACAAGGAGAATACCAATTCCAGGGAAATGATGGGGTAGCTATAAAAGGCTGTTGTGTAGGAAAGGAATGATGGCCTCAGAGAAAGGACACTAGGGTCACAGAGGATTTTCACACCTTCCAGGGGTGGGGGAGGCAAAGAACACTAAGAGTAGAGTCAATGCAAATCTTGGTTGGGTGGCAATAATAATTTTCTCTGCACACTCTATGTGGATCTTAAGTAGGTCCTAAATGGGGTGGCAGCAGTGGAATGGGAGAAGGGGACTGTGAACAGCTTCCCCAGTGAGCTGTCCAGGACTCAGCCCAGGATTTCACCGAAAGAAAGAATCCTAGAGGTCCCTAAATGGATCTATTTTCTGTTCATAAACTGGTTCCTTTTATGACACCCCTCCACCACCCTAACGGCCCAATCACATTTCAGAGGAGCTGCAGGAATGCCATCTGTCATACTGTGTGTGTGTGGGGGGCCACTAAGTTTGGGGCCTTCAAGGGCCCCCCCAGCGGCCTCCGTCCTGCAGGAGAAGTGGGGCAGAAGATGTCTCTCTCTTCCCAGGTTTGCTCTTACCCTAGGCCTTTGTGTATACAACTGCAAGGGAGCCCCTGGAGGGTACTTGGGGCTCCCTCAAGGAAACAGGAGGAAGCAGGAACTTGTTACAGGGTACAGTTGGGGCTGTTGGGGCTAAGAGGGCTGTGAGGGGCTTGGGGTGGGAGTGGCCACAGCACCAGACATAGGGCCTAACCTTGAGTCAGAGGGGAAGGAGTACAGGGGTGAGAGCAGTGAGGTGGGAAGCTTCCCCAAACAACAGAAAGCAAGGCCTTCTTTCTCAGGCTGCTGGAATTTCCCAATTCTCCCCTGGAAGTGCAGTTTCCAAGTCAGCTCGGAGGGTCCCAGGGCTGGCTGTGTTACATTCACTTCCTCTCCGTGAAGGAGCTTCTGTGCCGGGCCCTCACCTTCCTTGCAGCACCGTCTGCAGTCCCCCACAGCGCATCTCCCCAAATTACATGGCTCTCCGATTTTCAACCAGCGGTGGGGTCACAAATTAAATGATCCCTCCCTTCCCCCTCCCACCATCTCCTTTCAACCCAGGACGAGCCGGGGCTTCCCCGGCCAGGGAGACCTCGGGCTGAGCCTGTCTAGGGCTGCAGGCCCCGCCTCCTCCCAGCCGCCTGGACAGGGGGACCCCCGACCCCCACAGCCTAGACCCCCAAGCGCCACAGCCGCAACCGTCCAAGTTCAATCAAGTTGTGCTATTGTCTCCGCTCCGTAGAGGTGTCTGGGGCGCCTAAGCGCCTTTCCTTCCCTCTCCCCTCCCCACACGCCCCCCCCAGCCCCAATTGCCGACAAGCCAAATGCTCAGGAGCTGGAAGGCTCCGGCGGCTCTGGCACTCCTCCCTCTGGCAGGAAAGCGAGAGCGGCCAAGACCCTCCTCCTTGCGGACCCCACACCCATCGCCCCGCAGACTGCAGCTATGGTGGAGGTGGGGGGAGTTCCCCCAAAACCCACAAAGACATGGACACTAAACAGCATGAAGCTAAGCAACTCCTGGGTCAATGATGAGATCAAAACAGAGATTTAAAAAGTTCCTATAAACAAATGAAAATGAAGAAAAATCTCACCAAAACCTCCTGAGATGTCATGAAAGCAGTAGTAGGAGGGGAACTCATATCTTTAACAACACACATGAAAAAAATGTAAAGATCACAAGTTAAC